ACTGGGGCCACATGCTTCTTGGGGAATCTGAAACTTGAAGCACGTCAAGGACAGATTCTGGAAAACAGCAGCCTTCAATGACGCCACCTGTGCCGGAGTCTGCGATGTTGGGCTCTTGTGTAAATTCTCCAAGATACTCCAGTGGCTGTCAAATACCCTCTTATCACTCAAGGTTGCTTGGAAAAAACCAGAAGCTTAACTAATAGGAAAACTTTAATATACTTAGATTCCCTAATTCATCTGCTTACTATAATCTACTCATTTACCTTTGGACCTGGTCAACTGGCAAGTCACTCATCTCTTGCCTGAAACTTCCGTGGGCCTTGCTCACTGAGGACCACCCTGGCCAGCCTCCACACCACTCTCCTCTCCCCCAGCTCCCCAAGGGACACATCCTCCCTCCAGCTTCAGTGTTAGACAGGACAGATGAACCTATGGTCTGCCTGACCGAGGCACCCTTCAAAATGTCTTATTTCGAATATTCTTTGGGCTTTGAACAGTCTTTGAAATATTTTTTGGGCTCAACCCCCCACTGAGAAACCTGGGTGCCTCTCTCCTCCAAGCAGCCCAGCCCTCAGGCACAAAATCCTCCCCTAGAAATAAACTAGCTGCTATGTAGCAAGAGAAAGTGTAACTAAAAGAAAATAAACAAACATTAACTACGATCTAATGGGAATGATGCGTGAATATTTCCTCTCTGCTATTTACCACCCATAACATGTTGAATAGCAGCCTCCCCAAAAGATATGTCCATACCATAATCCTGGGAACCTGTGCATGTGACCTTATTTGAAAAAGGGGTCTTTCCAGACCCTTTTAATTAAACGGAGGCTCTTGAGATGAGGTCATCCTGGATTAGCGGGGTGGGCCCTAAATCCAGTGACAGGGATCCTTATAAGAGAGACAGAAAGGAGAGGAAAAGGTCATGGGAAGACAGAGGCAGAGATTGAAGTGATGTAGCCACAAGCCAAGGAATGCCTGCAGCCCTTAGAAGCTAGACGAGGCAAAGAACAGAATCTCGTTCGAGCCTCTGGAGGGAGTGCTGCCCTGTGAACACCTTGACTTTGGACTTCTGCCCTCCAGATCCGTGAGCGACTAGATGCCTGTTGCTTTAAACCTCCATGTTGTGGTAACCTGTTATGGCAGCCCAGGAAAGAGTCCACCCCTGTAGATGGAAAGTTATGGTCTCAGGGAACCCCACCCCTGATTCTGGGAGGTGCCCCAAGTGCTCCTGGCAGTCCCACTGCCACACGGACGGCCCTGATCCTGCCTCCCCTCCGCTTCTAGGTGGAGACAGGTGCTGTGTGGCAGCATCACTTTGTGTGGATGAACACAGTCACCTTTGGTCCTCTGCCTTCTCCAACATTCTGGAGTTGCCAGTGATGTCCAGAGCTCTCCTTGGTCACTGTGACTACTGAAAGTCTTTTATTGGTACATAGATCTTGACCCATGTGAGTTTCAGCATAAAACGAAGAGGGGTTTACTCTTTAGAGAAACAGCACCTGAAGTGCAGAAGCGCAGTCAGGCCTCCCAAAGGACCCAGATGGTGATAAGCCTCGGGACCCCCGGCAGTCACCTGAGCACTGACATTGTTTCCATCCTCTTCGCTTCTCTCTCTGGGACCCACTGTTCTTGCCTCTGTGGGATAGTTAACGATGGCCACCCCCAGGGTCACATCAGTTCCAACTTCCTGATGTGCCTCACCTTGTCAAGTAAGCCGCACAGAGTTAGCGCCACGCAATCCCAATTCCAAATCCTTGGGAGAGAGAAGTGCATTGGGACAGGCCCTTGGCTGAGACCAGATGGGCAGAATCACATGATATAAGCATGGCTACGGGGCCCATGGTGAGGGTTAGGGGGTTCTCAGAGAAGGGGCCCATGGGTTTGTTCAGCACAATATAGCGCAAGAGGGATCGGCCAGCTGCGGCCGCTCCTCTGGCAGAAGGAGCAGCCCTAGAAATAAGGGGCGTCTCGAGGGGCACCCTGGTCTTGCACCTCTGCACACACAGGTGGTAACCGTGAGGCTCTTCTCTCTCGACGGCCAGTCTTCTTCACTTGGCTCCTCACTGGCTTTACCCCTACGAAGTTATTGTTAAGGAAACACGACTGGGCTGGCTCGGCTCTCTCCATCCCTGGGGGCGTCCAGCACCCCCAGCTGGGTGGAGCATCTTTAGGAAGAGCCTCTACTCCACGTTTGCCAACATGCCCTCTCTTCTGCCCCACCCCCAGCTTCTTCCCGTCTTTATCTCCTGAGACACAGGGACAAATGGGGAAAACGCCGAGGTGCCGAGCCCACCACACCCCTCTCTCGTGGCGGGGGTGGAGGGGGACTCACCCTAGGGTGACCTCTAAGTAGAAACGCTTGGACACTCCCTCTCACTCCCCCTCTTTCTTTATGCCTCGAAGGAGACCAGAACTCAGGTCTGTGCCCTAGCTGGCTGGAGGCCCTTGATGTGGACAGTCCTTGATGCCTGGGGACCCTTAAGAGAAAAGCAGCCTGGTTGTGTGTGTGGGCGTACGTGCGTAGCTCAACATGAAGCATGAAAATGGAAGTCCAAGGTTCCAAGGAAGTGAGAGAAGCAAAAACAGTAAAGGGGAAAAATGGGAAACACCGTGCCTGCGGCAGCTCAGGTGGAAGCTTGAATTTCCACTCTGGCCTCATGGCTTCAGGGTCTGCTGCTTCTGCACAATGGAATTTGAAAGCGCCTCCCGGGCAGAGGGCAGAGCGCCCTGTTAGGTCTGAGAGTGAGCAGTGAGGAACCCCAGGCTTAGTCCTGGCTGGATACAGATAAAGAAAATTAAAAATTGGCAATTTGTTTTAAATGAGCTGTTAATTGCTGTTGAGCTTTAAATATTTGAGTTTATTAATTTCTCCCTCACCCTCTGAATTACATTTCGGCACCAGTCCCCTGTTATTAGGCTATTAAATCTGACGTATCAAAAAGGAAGTGTTTATTTATATCTTCAGAGACATGTACATCTAATTAAGATAGTGTTACTGTGCATATTTTATGTCAGCCAAATGCTGCCTGTGATTTGTCTCGTCAGCTCAGAGGGGCCTTAATAAGGGTCAGGAAGATTCGACCTGAGCCCAAGGAGGTAGACACCATGGAACCATTTGAACAGTGATTTTTTAAGAAACTTCACCCTGAAAGAAGTAGCTATTCCTAGACATCACAAAGCCCCCTCCGAAAGTTAAAAGAATCCAAAACGGTAACCTCTAGAAAACAAGAGATTTGAAAACTGGCCGCATTGCCAGAATTTTTCTGTGTTAGTAAACATCATAAAACTAGCGGACATCTAGAGACCATCTAGGGCACACCGCCCACTCTTCATGAATGCTCACGGCAGCCCACCCCCGGGGGACATTTTTATGCCCATTCTATAGAGGAGCAAAACAGAGGCTTAAAGAGATTAAGCGGTTTGCCTAAGAGGCAGAGCCAGGGCTAAAACTGAATCCTGCCTGCCTGGAGCCCACCTTTCTTCCACTTTGCCTCTCTTCACTGCCCGGAAGAGTTAATCCATTCCAGAACATTTTCAGCCAAGGTGATAATATCCCTTCTCCCTACCAGGTGATGAAAATTTGTTCTTGGGGAGCAAGAAATCACATTATTTTTACATAAAACACAGATACACATGGAGTCCATGAACAGGTAAACAGTACCTCTGTGGTACCAAAATTTTGTGGAAGAGGGCAATTAGGAAAAGATGCTAGGAAAGGCACCTTAGAGAGATGAAGATGAGAAAGGGAGAGGAAAGACTGCTTTAGAGCGGCCGCAGTAATACGCTATACTCGCTTGTCCAGCTGCACAATGGTGGTGTCACCATCCTGCGTTCTGAGGACTACGGCTCTTCGTTTACATAGTTCAGATAAACTAGACGTGAACTGTTAGCGCGTGGTAACACCAGGGCCCAGGCACCAGCCATCCTTGGACTGCAAATTCCCTTTGGTTGTGATAACTTTCATACCTGGTAAGACTTTTGTCAAAAGACAAGACATCCCCACTTCTGAAGGATGATCAAGTTTTCCGTGTGAAGCCCTCCTAAATCGTGGAAAAGATCCTTCGATGCTCCTGTTTGTTTACGTTTTGGGGCTTCTTTAGCCCAAGATTGCTAATTCTTTTTTCTGTGATGTTGTACAGGAAGGTGGTGAAGAAAGTATGGTTTGGATTATATCAGAAAAGCTCAGGATTGAATCACGGTTCACCCCTTCTAGTTCATGAGTCCCGGGGCAAGATACTTATCTTAGAGGGTTTCTCTTTTCTCATTGGTCACGTGTGGCTATAAAATTAAATTCATTAAAATTCAATAAAATTTAACATTTGGTTCTTCAGCCACACTGGCCACATTTCAGGTGGCTGGTAGTGACCAGATGGACAATGCAGATAAAGAACATTTCTATTCGACGGAAAGTTCTATCGGACAACACGGTCCCAGTGACAGTAAACACCAAGGAGACAGGAAACGGGTGATTACTTTTGATGTAACACATTTTCACTGGGAACCAGCTTTGTGCAGGCCCTGTTCTAAGCACAAGAGATGCGCAAACCAAAGTTCCCATGCTTACGGAAGGGCTGCTGTTATCCTTGCGGCAGTTTTTGTGGTTTCCTTATGAATGGACAGGGGGGTGTTTAAGAATATTAGTATGGAGTCTGAGCCCATGGCCTTGAGTCAGAGCTGAGTGTTTACATTCAAATTTACTAATTCACTTGGGTTCATCATCCATAAAATGGATGTACTAATAACTCACAGGATTGTTGAGAAGATTAAATGAGGAAATGGATGTAAAGGGTTGAACACAATGTCTGGCACAGCAGGTGCTCAATAAGTTATTGCTTCCCTAATTAAGATAAAAACCAGTCCGTTCCCCTAACTGCTAATTTGTTCATATAATAGGATATTTCTCCTGCTGTCTGGGATTCAGTGGTTTGTTATTAAGGCTCTATTGCAGGATCTTCCTAGAGGTTACTTGATAAAATAATACTAAAGTCACACTTAAGTTGCCATAGGAATTCGTTCTTTAATTCACATTTGAGAATTCATTACTCACATAACAATCTTAACAACATCCTTGCTGGTTTGGTTGCTGTAATTACAGAATGTAGGAACTTGATGTCAGAAAAAGTAGCGCTGAATTCACCAGTCGTAAAGGCAAGTGCAACCCAAGAGAAGGAGCAATGTGCCCAAAGTCACAGCTATTTGCAGGCAAAACAAGGACAAGAAGGTGGATCTCTAATCATGAAACACAGCGCACTTGGCAGTTCAACAAGTTTCCCTCATTCCCCTTCGCTTTGGCAGGGCTCCACCTGCCAAAGAGAATGACCATAAACTCTTGATCATCCATCAGGTAAGACTTCCTCAGCCCTGGACACCGAAGTGAGTATTCATTTAAAATAACACAGCCTTCGAAGCTGAGAGCACTTGGGGTATCCGTGGTGATCGTGGTATCACTGCCCATGGCAGCCACGTGGCTAGTGGCTGAGGGACCACCTACCTCCCGGTGTCAGTGCTGACGTGAGCATTTTGTTGCCTCTCCACCACCTTGCCGCCATTCTCTCCCCTCAACGACAAGCCTGGGAGGGGAGTCAATTTCCCCCAAACCCTTGAGGTTCATTTTGTCCAGAGAGTGCTTGTTACCATCTGAAAGAAGACCGCATGCCCAAGTCGCTCCTCTTTTCCGGTCACTGGTTAGAAAAGAATCTTGTGCTTTCAAACATTTTTTTTAGTGACACACTGAAGTGTTGATAGAAAGAATTAATACTAAGAGAAATTGCACATATAAATCCTTGGACACAGAAAAAGGAATATAACTCTCAATCAGGTTTGAACTTTCCTACCAGAAAATGCAATGTTTAACAAAAGTGATCAGTTTCACTCAATGGGCAGTGAGGTTGTGAATGAAGAAGATTTTTTTTTAAATAAAAACGGCTTTTTCTTGTTTTCTTGTCCTCCAGAGTCCAGAACTTTTTTATATTCTCATCAGAAAACCCAGAGAATGAACAGTACAGTCAACTCTGGATTATTCATGGGCCACCTGGACTGTTTTCATCTCCTGCCGCCGAGGTGGGTCTCCATCCAATTACACAGTTCAGGGGGTGAGGGATTTGGGCTCCTTCCCTCTCCTTCCTTCCTTCCTTCCCCTCTGGCAGTGAGAGGAAAGGAGGGGAAAAAACGCAGAGACATACTTTCCCCTCAACTAGCAAAGAAGGCAATACATCAGCATTTCAAAGCAGGATAACATAGGAAGAATAATTCAGTCACCAGACGATTAAAATTGCTAATGCGTGCCAGCTTCCAATGGCTATATGTGTTTGTTTTTGGCAGAAGTTTTTATTTAAGAATTAAGTCATTTAATGTGTAGGTAACAGGCACCAACATAGTTTTGCCTTCGTACGAAACAAGTATGTAGTTATAACTCAGTCGTATCGTAGAAGCGGTCCGATTATTCTCGAGGTTTGAAAAGTCTTTTTCCTTAAGGCCTCTGCTTAGTTTTCATGATATGATTGAATTTGTGACAGAAAGCCTAGCCTTGCGATTGGACTCTGATTCAGACTGTCATAACGTTCTCATATTTCCTTTGGAATCTTACGGCATTGGGCATGGACGAAAATGTCCCAACAGGAAGAGGAGGAAGTATATGGATAGTCAGATAAAGTACGGAGACCGTCACAAAACAGCATCCGGCTTGTCCCCGTGATGCAGGCGTGCAGCAAGTGAGTAGTCACGGGCTTGTGTGCACCGCGCGGTGCTGGCTGTATGTGGCTGTACGGCTGCCTGGGCCCCTTGTGCTGAAGCCCTGCATCCTGGCTGTTCCGCAGGGCTGCACAAAAATAGGGATTGATTTCTACTTGGATAAAGGAAATATGATTAAACTCGAAACTGGCTCTGTATCACGGCTTGTTTTTTTGATCAGAATAATGGAAGAGTAGAATCTCCTGCCCATCTGTGAAGAGCTTTATATCAGAGATCAGGATGAACCGGGTCCTGGGAGCACACGGAATGACTCCGTAAATAAGTGAGCACTCCTTCCCCTGCCTGCGTGTCTGTGGGCCTGGAACCCCCTGAACCCGCCAGCCTGCGGGCAGAGGCCTCAGTGACCTTCCCCCGGGGGCCTGGCCCACTCCCTCCCTCTCTTCGTCTTTGGTTGCTCTGTGGCTCAACACCACTCATTTTGGCTCCGTTGACTCAGGAGCAGTGTTCCAATAGTTACTTTAATTTATGACATTGTTTGAACATACTCTCTGGCCATGACCTTGGCCCTCACCCCAGAATATTATTTTCAGCATTTACCCTCCAGCTCTCCCATTGCAACCAGGAGCAGAAGGTGCCCTGTGCTATCCTGGCCTCACATGCCAGGCCCAAAGGGACAAAGGCCTGGGCAGACCAAGTCCAGTCCCCACCCCCAGCTCCCAACCAGGTGAGGGCCAAGTGGGAAGGGGCGGCGGGATGGAGCTGGCTAAGCTTGGCTGCTGCGCTCCTGCTCCGACAACGATACGTGAAGTGCTCTTCTGTGGCAACGCCAAGGGTGGTGGCACTCCTCCTGTGAACCTGGCACTCACAAGTTTTACCTCTGGGAAGAGAAAACACACACATGTAGCAGCTTGTCAGGATGCGGGAAGTTATGCCTGATCTGCTCAGATCACACATTCACCCGAAACGAAGCAGGGCTCCTAAAGGGACAGTCCACGGAATAGGTGTCTATCCCACCGCAGGAAGTTCGCCCCAGTCTTAAAGCATACGGTGGACATGGCCTGTGACAGGCAGCAGGAAGTAAACGGAGGTGAGACCCAGGTAGATGGCACCTGCAGGAGTCGATGAAGAGATGCTGGGTCCAGCTGATGCACCAAAGGAACTGAGTACCAGATGTAAGTCCCCTGTCATGGGGCCGCTCCTGGGATGGAAATAACGCCATACAGTGGGCATAGATATTGCCAAACAGAACAGGTTCCACAGTAGACAAGAGTCACCAGAGAAAACTGGTCAGCAGTGGAGAAGCTCTACAAACAGACCTAAAGGGACAGGTAGAGCGTTTCCCCCAGCGTAACGCCAGAGAGTCAGCACCTGAATTGTCCGTCTGCTGCTGTTCCTTCAGTGATTCTCTAAGACATAGTGAGCTCTGTGTACATCATAAATAATGCGTCCGAAATTTACATTTTTCGAACTGAAAAAATGTCAGCGATAGCCCCAAGTACATAATATGCACGATTTCACAGGAGATGAATACAATTTTAACGGTGAAAAAAAAAAACCTCTGAAATAGTGTCGTTTCCTAAGGAAGTTGAATTACAGAGAGGTTTTAATCCTTGTCCTGTACTTTCATGAGATTATAAACTAAAAGGGTTTAGGTTACAGGCACCAGAATAACTTAGTTTACCTTTTACTGCTGTAGCACTTTCAACTTTGCAGATGCCTTTCCATCTAGTCTGTGATTTGTTCCTCAAGTCAGCCTCAGAAGGCGGGAGTGGGTTTGACAGACAGCTTCATCCTTTGGCCTAAGGTCCCCTCCCTGGAAAGGGGAGAAAGAAGGCCGAGCCTCTGGTGTCAGGAGGTGGTGGGCCATTTTCATTGTTTCTTTTTGTTTTTTTCACCTTTTTACTCTTTTTTAATGAAATATAGTCAGTTTACAATGTTGTGTCAATTTCTGGTGTACAGCACAATGCTTCAGTCATACATGAATATACATATATTCATTTTCATAATAGGTTACCACAAGATATTGAATATAGTTCCCTGTGCTGTAAAGTAGAGACTTGTTGCTTATCTATTATATATAGTAGTTAGCATCTGCAAATCTTGAACTCCTAATTTATCCTTTCCCATCCCCTCCCCGCCTGGTGACTGTAAGTTTGTTTTCTATGTCTGTAAGTCTCTTTTTCCTTCTTGTAGCAAAATTGTGAGCTGTAGGGTGCAGGAGGCGTCGGTGGCAGTGGGTCCAGCCACATGTAGGAAGTTTGAGAAAAAAAAAAGCAATATTCAGTGAGAAGAGAAAAGAGAAAGTCTTGTTAGCATTCAAATCTCTGGTTCCGGTGGTTTTTGAGGCTCTGTTGCTTCTTTTCCATGGTTACTTGAGACTTTCAATAAACACTTTTTTTTTTTTTGCTTAAAAGACTTCCAGTTGAGTTTATGTTCCTTTAAAAAGCCAAAGGAGTCATAACTAATGTATCTGTCCTCAGCATAACACTGCAATATCACCTCTACCCTCATGAGTGCGTTGTAATCCACTTTCATACATGAAGAATTAAGACACAGTAAAGTTAAATAAATTGTCCCAAATCTTACGTTGAGTTGTTGGTATAATCATGTCTCTCACCAGTACATGCTGGTAAGACCCTATACACGTAATTAATAAAGTTTCATATACACTGTCTCCCTTGGTATCTATGACAAGCCCTTGAAATGGACTGGCCTTGGACAAGCATTGTTAGCCCGAATTTTAGATGAGAAAACTGAGGCTCAGAGATAGCAGGTGACGTCCCTCCTGTCAAACCATCAGCAAGTGATGGGATGGGGCTTGGACTCACATCTTCTGACACAACGCCCAGTGCTCCTTCAGCCACACCTCGCTGCACATCTGCACATACACAAAAACACGCCCAGACAGGCATGCACACCAAGGTTCATTTCAATCAAAAATGAAAATCGAATTCGGCAAAATAACTGCTCTTCTTAGAAATAGTTTTCAGTGTTGTAAGATACTGTAGCTCCGACTTATTTGTACTTTTATTTCCTGCCAAAACATCGGTTTAGGAACCACCTAACCCTTCTGTAGATCTAACTGCGATAAAGTATTTTCCATTATCTTGAGATTTGATAACACATAAAGAGCTTGTACTTTGTCTCTCTTGGTTTTTATATCTAATGAAATGTGAAAAAGCAAGACGAGACATAAGAGAAAAGAAAAAGATAATTAATTCAGAGATTAACTTTGGAAAATCTCCAAAATTAGATGGTGTAATGAGTTCACAGTTTAGAAGCCTTTGGTGGAATCAGATTGATGCAGACAAATTCCATTCACACCATTTAGGAAGACTGAATGGTTCTGTAGGTGAGTTATACTTAAAACTAAGGATTACCTAAGTCCTATTCCTCATTTTCTCTCTCACATCAACTGGTTTTAACAATCAAGAAAACACAAGAACAGGCACTAAATTGTTCCCTGGAAAAGCTGAGGGTGGACACGAAACTGCTGGAAAGAAGGCAGCCACAGAGCTAACTGACAGCAACTCTTTAAGAGACATAAACATTCCTTGAAGGCATGTAGCCAAGCCTGGTAGGCTCCAAACTTGATCAGCTCTGGTTTTCACATCTTTGTGTAACACTGTACAGAGATGAAATGAGTGAAAAACCGGATCACTGGTTTTTACGTTGTGTTTTGTTGTTGTTGCAGGAAATCGAACATACAAAATAGCCGAAGGTGGGTTGGCTGTCACTGGAGGGTCAGGGAAGGAGACACCGGAGCCGGGGCTCCGTCAGCCACTGGGCAAGACAAGCCCTGTGCGGCTTTCCCACTGGAAGCGCTTATTACCCAATCTGAGCTGCATTCATTTAACCACACATTTAAATAATGATTACAGTAATGTGATCACAACTTTAGACCCTCCTCAGTGGACATTCTGCCTTAGATTGTGAAAATTCAGATTGAAGATTCAACGATAAAGATAACCACCAACCAGTATAAACAAACTGGTCAACTGAGGAGGTCGACTGCTCAAATAATAAAAAATATCTGTTTTTCTTCCCCACCGAATTGACTGGTTGTCTGTCTATATGGACAAAATAAAATGATTATTTCATTGCGTGAATATTTCTTGGACAGTTTCCCCCGTGATTACAAACCAGCTATTTTCAGACCAGTCAGTACATGTACACACAGAGAACAGAGGAAGACAGGTCAGGGAAGGTTTGCATTTGGCATTTAGTCAGAAAACTTTTAAATTCAGTTCGGATTTAGGTTCAGCCGTGAAACATGTGCTTCGGTATAGGGCAGTAACAGTTTTAGGTTGGAAAAATAATCACAGTGTGTAACAGCAGCCACTCCCAGCACTTCCATGAGAACAGACGGGGCTGGTCTGCCAGTTCACATCATGTTTGAGAACAACGTGTAAACATTCTGAAATAGGCAAGTGTTTTCAAACTTTGCCATGAGTTGGGTGAAGATTTCAAGGATCAAAATGTTTGAGAAACAAAAAATCATACTGTGAGAGAAAGAAATCCTTGTGAAAAATGAGGCTGAATACAAAACTGTCATTTTTAATATTTCAGTTCTGGGTTAAGACTTCATATAGATATTTTCATTTATTCCTTGCTGCTTTAATACAAATTCAGATCAGTTCTGCTTTGAGAAAAGATGATGTTCTGCAATGCTTTCCTATTTGCGTGAAGCTCCATGGTAATGAAGCTGCACTAGAGAAAAAACAGAGGTTGGATATGACCCTGGAGCAGTTTCCACAAAGTTCCTGGAAGGGATCCTCAATCAATAGACACCAAAGGAGCTCTCTGACCACAGACAAACTTTTTTTTCTTAACAGATTTTACTGCTGATTTCTGATTACATAATTAATTTTATTATAGAAAATATAGCTCAGCAAAAATAATAAAATAATAACAGAAATTCTTTCTTCTAAACCTTCCACATTAGATAGATTTTGCTATATCTTTGCCCATTTATGCCTATGTATAGAAAATGAATTCCCAGAAGTGAAATTATAGCCCAAAGGCACACAGAGTTCTAAATCTTGTGGTTATCTACTAACACACGGCCTTGCAGAGATCTTCTATCAATTTATTGATATTATCATTAGCATATGAGAATATCTGTTTCCTCCCTTTGTTCACAGTGGATTATATCATTAAGACATATTTTTCAATTTTATAGGCAAAAATTAGTTCTCCTTTTCCCATACAAACTTCTATACTGCACAGAGTTGGTCTTCAGCATCCTCTACCCTGACAGAGGTCTCCTTTATGTCTTAGTGTCTCTGCCAATGCAAAAATGTATCTCAGTTTCCCAGGGAACCCTGTTTTAGAATGTTCTAGTGTATTCTAGTCTGTTCCTCGACAGGACATTCTTGCAAGGCCTGAACTTTCCTCCCTTGGTGTATTCTATGTTTTAAAATACAGCTTGTTTTCCCCTCTCTCTTTGTTGGGGTGAATCTAACACAATAATTTCTATCAGGATTTAACAACTGATGGCACCCTCCCAGAATGCAGACACGTTTTCTAAAGGCTAAAACTAATAGGAGTTTTGAGAAGTAAAGTAGACTTGTGAGGGGTGTATTTTTAGTCAAGGGAAATCCTTCTCGGAGACCCTCAGCTTACTACAAGCAGAGCATGGCCTTCTATGGTGGTTACAAAAACGATCAGCTCTCATGTGTCCTGTCCTGTGTCAAAGCGCTAGATGCCAGTCTCAGACTAGACCAGGTGATGAGTGCAGGCTGTCTCCTTATTCGAGGCCTCCCTGAGGCGCCACATGCCTCTTACAGAGCCTCCAGGAGCTTCAAGTCTGGGCATAAGTTGGGCTTGAGCAACGAACGTACCATCAATAGGGGTAATAGTTCTGTAACTGTTCATGCATCAGTTGATAAAATTTATGTATGTGTTTAGTTTTTTGGATCACAGCCACGTGCAACGTTCATTTAAAGACATTTGCTGCATATTTACACTGCTTACCTGAGTTTCATACAAAATGCCCTTCCGAAATACTTTCTAAGCAATGCATTTTTCCCCCAGGGGGAATTTGGAACAACTTTGCGAACCTTTCACCAAACTTTTCTTTAAAAACCTAGATACAGTTTCTTTAAACTTAGATAGAGCCAAGTATCCATTCATTCAGACAAGTAATAAATGACTATGAAATAATGCTGAGCTAATACACAATTCCCTGTCAGTGGGTCAGATGAAAGACTGTTAAAATTTTTGTGTGAACATTTTGCTGTAGTTTTTATTGATGAAACAGATGTAAAGATACTCTGGTTGTAAGCGAAGAATACGTAATCCTTAGATCGTAACAGTAGTTGTATAAATAGACTACAGTCAATTACTGTCTGGACTGCAGATAACTAAGAATCAAGTAACCAGATTTGTTTTTTGGATAGGAAGTAGTTTGTTCTGTATGTTACTCCAATGTGAAAGAAACAGATGAACATTAACAATTAATTTTCAGTTTTCCACAAACATGTGTAGGGAAGTCTCCTTGATGTTGAAAGGGAAGGAGACTCACTTTCTGCCCGCCTCCCTCCAGCCAGAGCAGCAGGGCGGGCTGTGAGGGACCGGGACAGGATTTCTCAACCTTTTTTAGTACCCTGTGAAGAGAGGTGACAAGAGCCAGGCCAAATATTTCTTGAATTCATCAATAATTTTCCAAAATAATGACATGACCTTAATCTTTTCATATATTATGATCCAGACATGAAAATAAATACCAGGTGAGGGGTAATATTTTTTAAGGAAGAAAAAACAATACACTTTTAAACCTAATACCCTGATGCACAAATGTTAAAGAAGATTACAGAGCCACTGAGCCCTTCACGAGCAGAGCCCTGACTGACCACTCGGAGTCCTGCGTTCATAGAACAGAACAGAAGATGGTTAAAGGTCGCAAAGAGGACGGTCTGGCAGTGTGATATTAAGCCCATTAATAAGCCTGCATTTCAGGTCCAGTATGCTCATATATTA